CACACACACACAAACCACACACACACAGAGGAGTCCCTCCCCGCTGTCTCTGGCCAATCCCCAGCAATTACAGACCCTCTTTCAGATAAAGCAGATTACGCTTCAGTGTCTGTTAGAGTCATCATTAGCTTAATGAAAAGTCAATAGCAGTCAAAAAAGGTGCCACTGCATTGAAAAGGGTTTAGGGCCGGTTACCCCTGTTATCCCCACCCCACCCCCCTTATATATGTGATAAAGATGTCACATAACAAACATGAAAAATGGCATGAATTCCAAAAATGAATTCCAAAAAGTGAGCGTAAAAAAAACAAAAACAAAAAAAAAAGCCAAGATGTAATACAATTTTACTTTATAAGAATTTTCCCTATTTAATTATAGTATTATTATTCACAAAATGTTTGTTTTCTTGAGCTTTCCTAAAATCGAATTGCTTCCACCATCCCTGAAATGATTTTCCTTTTCTAATAATATGAACAAGGCCATGTGAGTGGGGAAAAAACAACATTAACCAATATTATCATCCTGTAGAAAAGATAAATCAGCTTTAATATTGTTTAATATCTCAACTGTTTCGGTACACTCTTTAAAAAAGAAATCGATCACAAATCGAAAAAAAGTAATTTTCAGTGTAACAAGGTTCTTTAGATTATTCATCATAATATATGTTCATCATACTAAGGGGGGGAAAAGTTGCTTTTCTTTTTTTTTTGGAAAGCCCAAGATATTATAATATTACAGAATATTGTGATATATTACATAAATAATTAAATTTAAAATAATTTAGAATTTGAGTGCAAACTAAATGTCATTTTTTCAGACGCTTAATTAAATGAAGAGTTTAAGAAGTAGGACTTACTGTAAGTACATTATTATACGTAATTTCATAATTTATTCTATTGTATTTGAAATATGGTTAACGTACTGTTGAATGTATTGACAAGCATATATGATAAACTAAAATAGTAAAATATAATTATATAATGTCATTTCAACTGACACTTGTATGTTTTTATAAGAATTTTTAAAGATGAAGCTGCACTTTAGTCCAATCAAAATACATTAACATGTCAAAATAAATTAGTGTACTATAAATTTGTGTAAAAAGTGGCTTTTTATTTCATTAATAAAATTCCTTTTTCCTTCATGCCCAGTTTATTAAAACAAATATTATAATAACATTATTTCAAGCCAAATATTCAGTTTCACTCTTAAATGTGTCTCATTACATAAGTTAAATGAATTGCAAATGCCATTTTAAGCTCTTGCAGACAGTATGAACTGTCATGTGAAGCTTTAGCATGTAATGGGAATAATTCCAGGGGGACGGATCTACTCACCGGCCTGGTTGGTGGTGACATTGAGCGAGACGTACTGGCGTAAAGGGGCGGTTAGTTCCGACACCCCGTTCACAGCCTCCACCTCAAAGGTGTAGTTGGTGTGAGCCAGGAGATCCATGACCATGACGGAGGTGTTTTTCAGAGCCGTCCGCTGAGGCAGATATCGCACGTGACTTCCACACGGTTCGTACTGGCCTGAATCTGTGCTGATCTTACTGCACACAATGTTGTATCGAACATCTTTCCGACCGCCTGTCTCCTCCGGGGCGCTCCACTCCAAGAAGACGCTGGTCTCGTTCACGTTGGAAATAGCGCTACGTGGGGCTGAAGGTGCCTCTGCAAGATAATATGGTATCATGACAAAATTATAAATATTATACCAAAAATACGGCATAACAGTACACATAAAGCAATAGTTCAGAAGTTCAGCCAAAAATTAAAATTTGCAGGCAATCCAAGATGCAGGTGACTTTTTATCTTCAGTAGAACAGTGAAGACGATGTTTAGCTGTAACCGTGGTCCTTGGTGATTCATAAAATGCAAGTCAATGGGTACCAGCACTTTGAGAGGCAAAAAAACAAAACATAAATTAATACCAGTGGCTCCTGATGATATACTGAGGTCTGATACATCAAAATGATTGGTCTGCAATATTATTTACAACATTATTACCAGCAATCCATAGCCTCAGTATAGCCTGAGTTTTGACTGAGTAACTTGTAGTTTCTTGCACAGACTCATTGTTTCGCTTCATAAGATCTCAATATATCGTTAGGAGCCACAGGTATTATTTTTGTCTTGCCTGTAAATGGTTGTTTTTGTTTTGTGTTTACTCTCAAAGTGACGGTACCCATTGACTTGCATTTTATGAATCACCAAGGACCACAGTTACAGCTAAAAATCGCCTTTACTGGTGCCTCTCAAAGTGCTGGTACCCATTGACTTGCATTTTATGAATCACCAAGGACCACAGTTACAGCTAAAAATCGCCTTTACTGGTGCCTCTCAAAGTGCTGGTACCCATTGACTTGCATTTTATGAATCATCAAGGACCACGGTTTCACCTAAAATCGCCTTTACTGGTGCCTCTCAAAGTGCTGGTACCCATTGACTTGCATTTTATGAATCACCAAGGACCACGGTTTCAGCTAAAATCGCCTTTACTGGTGCCTCTCAAAGTGCTGGTACCCATTGACTTGCATTTTATGAATCACCAAGGACCACGGTTTCAGCTAAAATCGCCTTTACTGGTGCCTCTCAAAGTGCTGGTACCCATTGACTTGCATTTTATGAATCACCAAGGACCACGGTTTCAGCTAAAATCGCCTTTACTGGTGCCTCTCAAAGTGCTGGTACCCATTGACTTGCATTTTATGAATCACCAAGGACCACGGTTTCAGCTAAAATCGCCTTTACTGGTTCTACAGAAGAAAAAAGTCTCCTACCGCTTGGACAGTCTGAGGGTGAGTAAATTAACAGCTAATTTCATTTCTGGGTGAACTATCCCTTTAATGGAAGTACTGTAGCTCTTACTTGTGCAGGCCATGTTGGCAGGGTCTGATTCGGTCCGGTAGTATCCCTGCTCACACTGACAGGAGGTGGAGGCCTCCACTTTGGTGAAACTTCTGGGAGGACATTTACTGCAGCTTTTGGTCTGAAGAGCTGATCGGTAAAAGCCCGGCTTGCACACTGCAGAGATATCAAGCACAAAAGGGAAGTGATTACATTACTAATGCATTACTAACTGTAACTTTTGATCAATTTAAAGCATTGTTACTGAATAAAGTATTAATTTAATTCAAACTGACCCAAACTTTTAAATGGACGTATATATTCATGAATAAAAGACAGTTAGAATAATGTTAATGCTGCTCTTTTCCATACAATGAAAGTAAATTGGGACAGGGCTGTCAAGCAAATGAAATAAAATAAAAATGTTTAATTCAATATTGCTAAAAATCTTACTCTCTGGATGAGATGCATCTCTGAAATCTCATTTGCATATGGTGCATTACAATGTATGTAACAGATTTGGCATCAGTTATGATAAATAAGATTTGAAAGTTACTGTATGGTGAAGGGCAATGACTTAATTTGTATTATAATAGTTACTATAATAGTGTACAGGTGTCATTTTAGGAGCTTAACCGATTTTCGTCAATATGCTTTCATTGTCTGTGAAAGAGCAGCCTGAACATTTCGCTAAACTTCCTCATATGGGTTCCAAATGACATGAGGGTAAGTAAACAATAACATGAGTTGTATTTTTTAGGTGAACTATTCCTTTAAAAACAATTGCATGTATAAATCTTCACATTCACTCAAAAACCACACTCATCCAACCTCCTACACAACAACATGCCCACAAAGCATGAAAACCACAATTCACAATGTTGCACCCACAAGCGGGACAAATGGATTCAGTATATTTGGTTTTTGCAACTACTTAAATGCTTCTCCATTCAGGACAGTTGCTTGGGCACAGCAGACATCCTGTCAGCGCAAAATACATTTAGATAATATATTGCCATGGAGAGAAGGAGAGAGATAGATTATCAATGGCCTCGGCAGTCCAAAGTGCACACAAAGACATTAATTAAAGCATCCCTGGTGTGCATTAAGAGGCAGACAGCAGAGGTGCGCTGTGAATTCAACCCAACTCTGAGCCACAGCGAGAACAAGCCGAGCTGAAAGAGGCAGCTAATACAGAATAATACGATATATAATATCATTCAGCATTTAACTATTATTCATGCGCCATATTCAGCACTTCTGTAGTATTTTATGCGTTTCCCTGAAGTTCACTTCAATGCACCGAAAAAGATTGTAGTTTTGCTACTTTGCCTTAAAATTCAACATGAAATCAAAAGTAAGCCTATTTACTTTTTAGTACGCATTCAGTCTTATTGTAAAATGATTTGTCACTTCATTCCAGTGAAAACTGTTTAGCCCTGCTTCTTTCCTTTTCGGTTAACATCTCTACCTAGCTCCATTCTGAAACATAACACTATGTCCGCATCCACATTAATCCGGATGCATTTCAAAAAGACACACTGATAAAAAATAAATAAATCACCTTATTGCACATGCATAAAATGTTATAGACTCTCACTGAGATGAAACTGAGAGACCACACATAATAAAGTTCTCAAGCTATTCTTCTGGCACAATCATTTTATTAGCAAAATATCTCATCACTCACTGGTCCCAGTCACACTCAAAAAAATAAAAATAAAAAAATAAATATAAATAAATAAATATATATATACGT